ATCTTCCGGACCCAGTGTGCCCCCATCTGTCTCCAGCAGGGTCAGAAGGTACTGGGCTACGTGGAAAGAGATGGTCTCTGAGCTGGGGTGTGGCATTTGGGGTCCCCCAAGCTCCATGGATACTGGTGGAATATCTTTCTTCCCCATCCCTCGGTATTTATGGTCTTTACTCTCTGGCTCGTACCAGCCTCCCCACCTCCACACGCCAGCTGTCTTTCCCAGAAGGCATGGAAACCATCCTGCCTCCAGACCTCCTCCTACCTCTCTCTGCCTTGTTGAACTCCTACACACCCTTTAAAGCCCAAGCTCCAATGCCCAAAGCTCCCTCTGGCCCTGCTCCAACATTGCCCAGCTCAGAGCCAGGCTCATGGTAAGGAAAACAGATCATTTCAACATGTGCACTATTCTCATCTGAGGCCTAGGAACCACCAGGAGGTGTCCCTGACCCCTGCTCACTCACTGTTCTCCAAGCGCTGGAGGCTCTTCCGCCCCTTGGCCTTGGGCACAAGGTCTGAGTTCCGCACAGCCTGGTTGATGAAGTGCTGCTTCCGCTTGGAGGCTGAGAACCTCTTCACCTGGGAGCCGGCTAGAGTGGGCAAGCATCCTGCAAGGTGTCTGTGGGCAGGGGTTTGGGAATGGGGAGCAGTCCTCAGGGCCAAGATCCCCAGGCAGAACCCCACCACTGCCATTCTACCACAACCATCACCTGCTTGGTTTCCCTCAGCAGCAGGGAGCTCACCTCCTGCCACGTGTGTAACTATGGACCATTACAATTTCATTGTCACATCGCCCGAAAGGCAGGCATAATCATGATGACAGAGTAGTAAACTCTGGCTCAGAGCAAACCCTTGACTGAATTCACACACTGGGTGGGTGGCCAAGAAAAGCTGTTGCCCCTCCCTCAGGCTTCCAGATATTAGCTGCTAGCCGGTGAGGCCCAGAGTACCTGGAATTTGAACACCACCATCCTCTGGGAGTTTCTCAAAAACATGATTCACCTGAGCGCAGCTGCCAGGAGCAGGGAAGAGGCTGAAGTACCCGTCCCCCCCACTCGCCCCTCCATTAATCTGCCCTCCTCAAAGCAAATGGCATTAAGTATGGAGATGGATTAGCAGTGCCACCAAGCCTCCTGCTGGGGACTCATAGGCCAGGTGTGGGGAAGCAGCAGGGGACTCTGAGATGAAAACTTCCTGACAAGAAGTTGCTGGACCTTCCCGGTCAGCCCCTGACAACCCCAAACCATAGGATGGTCCCCAGCAGACTCGTATAGACCATAGAATGGTCCCCAGTGGGTTCAGAAACCCTCACCCTGTAGGGAGATGGTGGGTTCTGGTCCTTAAAGGGTGTGGGGTGCCGAGATTCCCCACCCCATGTCCTAACTCCCTTCCCCTCATTCATTCTACTCCAGTCATCTCCTGCTTCTCCTCTAGTAAGTCAGGCCAGCCCCACCTCTGTGCCTTTGCACTGGGTGCACCCTCTGCCTGGTGCACAATCCCCTAAACTCCGAATGGCTCACTGGCTCACTTCCTTTTGGCTTCTGCTGAAATCTCCTCAGTGAAACCGCAACCTCTTCTGTCCACTCCTTTGGCTTTCTGATCACCATACATTCTACTTCACTGATGACTGCTCTCCTCTCTCACTAGGTCATAACTTCCACTCGGGCACTCATAGCTGTGCCTGGCACACAGCAGCTGCTCAAAAAATTAACTGCTGGATCAGATGTTCCAGAAAATCCCTTTGGATGTTTGTAAGTCTAGGAAAGGACACTCAAAACCAAGAGAAGCTGAGACAGGCACCCTACCCTGGCAACCCAGCCCCCATCTGCTTGGTTTCCTCCTGTGATGGAAAGCTCACCCCTTCAGTCACACCAATGATAATAGCAACATCCCTGGGTTGAATGTTCACATATTAAGTCAGCATAGGATCTGACCTGAGAGTCACCTTCCAGAGGCCCAAACACCCCCCACCCCAAACCCCAGATTCATTCATGGCCTCCCTGGGGCTCCAGTGCCTATGTCTCCACTGTAGGAGCTGGACAGAGTCCAGGATGGAAGCCTGGTTGGGCCGATAACAGAAGCCACATCCGGGGAGAGCTGTCAGGGGACATCAGAGCAGGGTAGGACCCAGTGAGAGAGCTCTAGCCCCCAGGGCATGGGGCTCTGGGAAATGGGGATTCTTGGCACTTCCAAGGTAGGAACGGAGCTAAGATTTGAATCTGAGTCTGAACAGGACCGCCCCCCCACCACCACCGGGAGAAAACCTCCCTCCTGCTTCATTCGTGGGTCCACAGAAATCTGCAGTGGGCTCCCCAGACCAAAGTCCATGTAGCTAAGACCCAACTGGTATCTTCCCTGCTCCACCACCACCCATGGCTCCCCAGCACCCTCAGGGCAAGGACCACCCCTCCTGTCCTGAACCCACACCACATGGTCTGTGTCTGGGCCCAAAGGCATTCAGGGGGCTTTTTACCCTCTTGTGGGCCTCAAGCACTGAGCTGAGCACTGGAAAAGAAGTCTACAGTCAATTCAAGCTTGCTGACTTCAACCAGATTCCAACAGGAGATAAGAAATAGGTGGCCTAGACACCGGCGACTCCCCCCAGCCCCCGCCCAATCCCCACTCAAGACACAGAGAGGACAGGGCATAGAGGGAGCAGGGCACAATTACCTAGGAAGTCAGATTTGCAATAAAGGCTGGGGGAGGGGTGTTGGATGTCAGTATAAACTTTATGTAAGATATCTCTACATGGCAAAATATTGATGCCTGACCTCATCTCTCCCCTGAGGGCCTCCTCTGCTCTGGCCACATGGGTCTTTTCATGTTCCTCAAACTAGCCAGCAATGACCCACCTCAGGACCCTTGTATACGCTGAGCCCTCTGCCTGGAGCACCCTTTCTCAGCTCCTTCTGGCCTCTGCTCAAACCTCACTCCTGGAAAACTGCCCCGCCCCCCACTGGCCCAATCAACCCAGTTTGCCTGTTTCACCAGTTGACACCCCAAATCAGCTAATCCATGCATGTGTTTACTCCTTAATCCTCACCTTCCTGTGTGAACAGGACACAGGATGAGGTCTCATTGGTCTCTCCTGTGTCCCCAACACGAGACCCACAGCAGGTGTTCAATAGCTGCTTGTTTATACATCCAAGGGCCACTTCCTCTGCTCCCCATGTCACCCAGACACCCCTTTGCAGATTGGGAAACTGAGAACCCAGAGGGGCACCTGAGGCTTCCTGGACAGCCAAGTGGTGAACAGCTGCTAAATCAGGTTGGGTTTCGGGGGACCCCATTCCAATGTCCCCAATTCTGCTCCCTGAAATGGGGAATTTTGACACCCACTGCCCTGGGGGGAAATCCCCTTCTCTGACCTGTCCCCTCCCCCAGAAGCAGGCAAGAGAGGAACCCACTGCCCTGGCAGGAACCAAGAGGGCTCAGAGCAGAGGTGACTCAGGCTGGGTGGGGCCAGCTGAATCCCCCATGCAGAAGTGGCCACACCCCCCAAAACTTGGAGGGGAGGCATCCTGTTTGGGTGAAAGGAACACACAAATACCCACTTTGAGTGGTTAAGGCCTCTTAAAAGAAGTATTGTCCCTGGTACCTACGCACATCTGTAGAGACCAGCAGGGCCTCTGGTAAATGCCCAGAGAAGATAACATTAGGGAATAATAAAGTACAATAGCCCTGGCCAGTGTGGCTCAGTTTGTTTGGCAGTCATCCGAGAAACAAAAGGTTATGGCTTCAATTCCCACCAGGGCACATGCCTGGGTCATGGGATTGGTCCCTTGTTGGAGCGCATTTGAGAGGCAACCAATTCATGTCTCTCTCTCACATCAATGTCTCTTTTCCTGTCTTTCTCCCCACCTTCCCCTTTGTCTAGATAAATGAAATCTTTAAAGTAAATAAATAACATAATCATAATAATAATGAAATTATAAAATCCTTTTAAAACAATACAGATGTTTAAGACGATTAAAGAATGGACACTCCAGTGCCGGGCACCTCAGGGGGCACAGGGTCACTGATCCCCCAGCCAGTCTGAGAAGAGGTCGCTGTTGTTCTCACACTTCACAAGTGGGGAAACTGAGGCCCAGAAGGGCGGAACATGCAGGTTTCCGCAACACCATGGTTCAAATAGAATCTGAGACCCAAAGGATGCACACTCATATTGGGGGGGTCTACACCCATATGGGGTCTCTCCACCTGCTTCACGCCTCCCTCCCTGAGCAGAGAGGCTCCGGTTGCCCAGGTTTTAAGATATCCGCCCCCCCCCCCCCGGCCCCGCTGTTAATCTGAGTATGTAGCCGGAGATAAACCACAGCCCTGTAAACTCAGGAGGGGGAGGGGGGTTGATAACTCAGTCGGGGATGCAGCCCTAGCTGTGGGGTGACTACACAGCCTGGGAAAGGAACACTGCGTGTGGAGAAAAGCCCTAGGGACACCACACAGCGGCCGCCTCACCCCAAGCACTAACAGGCTCACAGAACCCCCAGACAGTCCAGTACCCGAGACTCCAGGGCCGCCAGGATCCTTAAACCCACCATCGAAGTGTGCCCCCTCCACCCCAGCAAATACCCGCGTGTGTCGGGAATGGGATTTCTGCAAGTAAACACGGGGTAACAATAAGCCCCCCCTTCCCGCATCTAGGGGGTGTCGCGGAGGCGGGGCGGGCCCGGGGCTGCAGCTGGGGAGAGCATTGAGAGGAGGGCATCGAGGGAAGGGAGCCCCAGAGCCCCGGTGGCGGGGGCGCGCCCCGCCCGCCCCGCCGCGCTCACTGCGTCTGGCGCCTGCCCGGAATGACCCCTGGGGTCGCCGCCACCTCCTCTGAGCAGCCCTCGGGGTTCTCCAGCGCAACCATGGCTCAAGTGTCGCTGTTGCTGCGGCCAGGTGGCAGGGCCTTCTCTGGACTGGGCAGGAAGTGACGGACGCACAGAGGCGGGCCGGGGCGGGTCTTGGAGGCTGGCCGCGCGGGGCAGGGACCGCCTCCGGGAAGGCGGCCAGACCCCGGGCTGCGGTTGGAGTGGGCACCCAGCTTTCGGGGGACCTAAGCTTTCGGGGGACCTAAGGAGAAACTGAGGTGGAAAGGCGGGGGACGGCAGCCACAAACCTAGGGTGCGGGCATAGCGGGGCACCTAGCTCCGGGGAATGGGAAACTGAGGCTTGGGTAAGAGGGGCGGAGGGGGATGTCCTTTCCCGAGGCCGTGGAAAGATGAAATGACCCATGCTCCTTTTCCACTCTACGCCCACGGGGCCTTTGCTTCCACCGGCCCGCTCCCAGTCGTTCATGAAAGTGAGGCCCCCGGAGGACCAGCTGGGTGCCTCAGTTTACTCATTTCTAAAATTAGGAAGTCAGCGCCGCCCCTTTTGCCTGTTAGGGCTTATTCACTGAACAAACGTAGGGCTGCTCCTGGTCTCTGCAGGGCCCAGCTATGACCAAGATGGACCCGTGCCTCACCCAGCAGGTGAGGAAAAGGAGTCTCTGGGCAGGGACTGGCAAGCTGCAAACCAGGAATAGTGCGCCAGGCAGAGGCCACAGCCAACAACATCCAGAGTGGCCAGAGCAGGGAGATGAGTCAGGGGCAGAGAACAGAGGTGGAGGGGAGGGGGCAGACCCCTGAGCCTGGTGCCCCTGTGAGGACAGGTCTGGTTTTGGTCCTGAGGGCAATGGGGAGCCACAGGAGGGTTTAGGGTGTAGAATTCAACCTGTTTAGAATCTAGAATCCACCCTTTGGTCTATTAAAAAAGTGGGAACCTGTACCACAGGCATGCAACTAGCCAAATCCAGCCTGTGTAAATTTTACAGGACCAATACCCCAATTATTTTAATAGATAAAGAAGAAGGTAGGGAGAAAAAGGGAGAAGCAACTAAAAGATCCTGCCTTTTGGTCCTCCAGCCTAGACCAAAAGGTCTCTGGGTTCCATTCCCACTCAGGGCACCTGACTGTGTTGGAAGCCAGGTCCCCATTTGGGGGTGTGTGAGAGGCAAGTGATCGGTGTTTGACCAGTGACCTCTCGGTTCACAGGCTGGCACACAATCCACTGACCACGCCAGTCAGGGCTAAATAAATAAAATCTTTTTTTAAAAAAGGTTCCCAAAGAACTCATACCATAGACAAACATGCTCAGATGCAAAAGACATCGACGGTGACACGTGTCAGGAGAGAAGACAGAGGGGAAGAGGGGCTCTGGGGCACAAAGGTCGCTCTCCTGCTCTGGCCCATGACGCACCAATTCTAGAGTGCACAGCCCGGGCCTTGACCTCATGGGGCCTCACCTCCCAGGAACCTGGGCTGCACCTTCTCCACATCCTCCCAGACCCTCTGCCTGTCTGCGGCGAGCTGCCGCCGCTGCGCAAGTCCCCACCTCAAAGGTCCAGCCTTCTGCTGACTGCTCCCGCGGGCCCATTCGACTCAGCAGCTTCCCCCAGATGGTTCCACTACCCACACCTGATGGCTGAGGGTCTCTTTGCCCTAACTTGTCCCTCATTACCACTCCACATGGATTTTTCTTCCCATTCTAATTTTTATTCTGATTTGTCAAGAATAATTTTGAAGGTATAAAAAGGGTAAACAGGAGAATATTCTCCTCCCCCTGGCTCTTTGTATTTACCCCTGGAGACAGTTAATGTGCTTTGATGCCCATGCATATATATTCATTTCTCCCCTCCTCCTTGTTTTAGTCTTTTTATACAAGTGGCAGCATTTTTCTCTGCTGCATAGTACTCCACAATGGTGCCATCCCAGTACACTGTTGTGTGCCTTGCGGGTGAGTCTCTGGGGGTCCAAGTGGCACAGGTGTCTATGTGCTCTATTGTTCTGTTTTAAAAGATTTTGTTTATTTATTTTAGAGATGGGAAAGGAGGTAGAAAGAGAAGAAACATTGCCCTGACTGGTATTGCCCAGTGGATTGAGCACATGCCTGTGAACCAAAGGGTCACCGGTTTGATCCCCAATCAGGGCACATGCCTGGGTTGTGGGCCAGGTCCCCAGTATGGGGTGTGTGAAAGGCAGCCACACACTGATGCTTCTCTCCCTCTCTTTCTCTTCCCTTTCCTCTCTCTCTAAAAAATAAATAAGTAAAATCTTTTTTAAAAAAGGAGAAACACGAATGCCAGAGAAAAACAGCAGTTGGTTGCCTCTCACCTGTGCCCCGACTGAGGGAGGACAAAACCTGCAACCCAGGCCTGTGCCCCCGACTAGAGTCAAACCCTCCGTCTTTCCCTTCGAGGAGAAGGGACGATGCCCAACCAACTGAGCCACACCTGTCATCTTCTAACAGCCAGACCCCCGGAGCAGTGAGGCTTATCCCCTGTCAGGGTGGGTCCTTCCACAGCAGCCCCCACACAGCCTACCCCACCCCAGCTCTGTCCCAGCCCTTCCTCCAGTCCATCTCCCCCAGGGCTCTCACCTTGACCGTTCAGTGGGGCGGGGAGGGGGGAGAAGGTTGCCATGCAGGAGGGGGCTCAGGCAGGGGGAGGAGTGGCAAGTGGCTGCAGGAGGGGCAGGGAGGAGGGGATGAGGCGGGGAATCAGGTATAAATGCTAGGTGGCTGCTGTGAGTGAGCAGAGGCGCAGCTGAGTCCAGCGGCTTCCAGTCTACACCCTTCTCGGCTCCAGCTCCGCTCCAGCTCGCTCCAGCTCGGCGCCAGCTCGGCTCCGCAGGTGCATCCCCAGCAGGTGGCCAGGACCAGGATCTCCACTGCAATCCCGGAGGGCCCATAAAAAGAGGGTCACAAAGCCATGCACAACTTTGCCAGGTCTGGACCCAATGTGTCCTGGTGGGCACTGGCCAACGCATCTGGCTGTACAGGCTGCGGCACCAACGTCTCAGATGGCCTGGCTCCTGCGTTGTGGCCTGTAGATGCCTGGCTGGTGCCGCTCTTCTTTGGTGTGCTGATGCTGCTCGGCCTGACAGGGAACTTGCTTGTCATTTTCGTCATCTGTCGCCACAAGCAGATGCACACAGTGACCAATTTCTACATAGGTGAGCACCCAGGCACTGCGTGGTGCCTGCCTGCCACTCCCAGAGAGGAGTCTCTCCCCTGCCCATCTCCAGTCCTTTTCCTGTTGTCCCTGTACCTTAAGTTAGAGGTTGAGAACTCTGGCATTAGAAGGTTCATGGGGGCCAGCCCCGGCTGCCTAGTTAAAAGGGGGTGGGAGAGTGTGGCTTGGAGAGCTCGCCCCTCCCACTCCAGGTAGGTGTCTGATTTAAGTGTAGTTCTTCTGTCACAGTATCCAATGAATAAAAGTAGCGCTGGGAGGCACTGCTTGCCCTGCCGGCTCCCAGTTTACAGTCTCTGCCACAGTGGCTTGGGTTTGCACATTTGTGTGATGGGGTGGCCTAGCACACAGGTGTGTGCTGAGTCAGTGTTCTCCATTCTGTGGTGGATATTGAGGGGGCACCACTGTCTCCAATTTGCAGATGAATAAACTGAGGTCCAGAGGTGCAGGCTCTCCCAGACCTAATTCGGTAAGCAGAGCCCCGTCAGGTCTGGGAGCTGGAATAGTTACGAAGCTTGTGTAGGAGGATGTTGGAAATGTAGAAGGGACGGCTGGAGGGTGTATGTGCTGAGCCTTCTGGAGCCATCCTACTGGTCACTCAGACAAAGAAGGGTGCTAGGGAGCTGGACCAGAAGCGCTGGGTGGCTGAGTTCTGGGCCTCACGTCCAGCACCCCCACATTATCTGTCTGCAGCCAACCTGGCAGCCACGGACGTGACCTTCCTGCTGTGCTGTGTGCCATTCACTGCCCTGCTCTACCCTCTGCCTGCCTGGGTGCTGGGTGAATTCATGTGCAAGTTTGTCAACTACATTCAGCAGGTGAGCTGGGGGCTGGAGGAGAGGAGCTGGGGAACCACCAAGGTGTGGTCTGGGTGTGGGTGGGCTGGACCTCCCTTGAGGCAGTGGAGGATGGGGCCCAGCCCTAGCAGGTGGGGGTGGGGTTAGAGTTTGGTGGGTGCAGCTAAGAGGAAGTGGAGCCTTGAAGGGATGGGTGGGGCAGAGGGGTGCGGAGGAACCAGGCAATGGGAAGGGGTATGGACAGGCACTGGGGGTCGGTGATGGGCACAGGGAGGGCCATCCCAGTTCTTGCCCTGCCTGTCCTGAGGATGACCGGCCTCTCTTTATCTCAGCCTCTGGGTCTCAGCAGACCCCCAGTGGTCCCCTCAAGCCCCCACCATCCTGGGGTCCTGTATAGTATCACTCTTCTTCTGCCCCTTCAATTTTGTGGCATCCGAAGACCCTTCCAGGATATGCCTTGTGTGTGCCTGAGCCGTGAGACATGTAGGGGGCAGGCAGTACTCGAATTGTGGGTGCAGACACAGGCCTCAGAAGCTCGGGGATGGGGGTCAGAGGAGGCACACACCAGCTCCTGGCACTCCCAGGTCTCGGTGCAGGCCACGTGCGCCACCCTGACTGCCATGAGCGTGGACCGCTGGTATGTGACGGTGTTCCCTCTTCATGCCCTGCACCGCCGCACGCCCCGCCTGGCGCTCTGTGTCAGCCTGTGCATCTGGGTGGGTGAGTGAAGCGCTGGGGCACACGGGGGGCGGGGGGCAAGTCCTCGTGCCCTGGCCACCTTCCTACTCACTGACCCTCTCGGAGCCTCGGTCCTGCATCTGGGAAACGGGCACAATAGCACTCCCTGCAAAGAACCGCTGGGGGCGCAGATTGGGGAGGCACCTGGGAGACCAGGGCCCTGCCCCCCTCGTGCCCCTCTTCTCCGGGCAAGGTCTTTCAGCTGCGCCTGTGGTGCAGGCTCCGCAGCCATGTCGGCTCCGGTGCTCGCCCTGCACCGCCTCTCGCTGGGACCACCCACCTACTGCAGCGAGGCCTTTCCCAGCCGCGCTCTCGAGCGTGCCTTTGCACTCTACAACCTGCTGGCACTCTACCTACTGCCGCTAGTCGCCACCTGTGCCTGCTACGGGGCCATGCTTCGCCACCTGGGCCGGGCCGCCGTGCTCCAGGCGCCTGCTGACAGCGCCCTGCAGGTGCGCCGCTGGGTGGGTGGGGGGCGCGGCCAGGCTAGGAAGAGAGTAGACACAGCTGGGGAGAGGCACATCTGGAGGAATCTAAGGGAGTGGTGACCCAGAGGGGGCCTAGGAGGGGAGCTCTGAGGGGATGTCCCATAGCCTGTCCTCCCACCTCCCCCACCCCCAAGGGGCAGCTGCTGGCGGAACGAGCGAACGCTGTGCGGGCCAGGGTGTCACGGCTGGTGGCGGCGGTGGTGCTGCTCTTCGCTACCTGCTGGGGCCCCATCCAGCTGTTCCTGGTGCTGCAGGCGCTGGGTCCGGCTGGCTCCTGGCACCCGCGCAGCTACGCAGCTTACGCGCTCAAGATCTGGGCGCACTGCATGTCTTACAGCAACTCAGCCTTGAACCCGCTGCTCTACGCGTTCCTGGGCTCGCATTTCCGGCAGGCCCTGCGCCGCGTCTGCTCCTGCGCTCCCCCGTCCCCCACCGCGTCCCCCGTGGCCCCGACCTCCGGCCACCCCGCCCACCCCGCCTGCAAAACACTGAAGCCCGGAGCAGCCAGCCGGGGCCTTGCAGGCTGTGCGTCCTGAGGGAACGTGCTGCCCCTCTCTGAACTGACTCGGGCGGGATGGATGAAGGTGGGCCGCTCGGGAACAGGTGTTGCTTGGACAGCAGCTGCTATTATTCTGTTATAATATCTTTTGTCCAAGAATTAATATTCTTGTCCAAGATAATCTGAGTGAAAATGTTTTGTTCTCCTGTAATGTCTGGTACAAATTGACTGTGATGTTTGCTGCTCTTGCTATTGTGATGATTGTTCCTACATTTCCTGAAACTGAAGATGCTTCAATGCTGGCACCGTGGGAAACTTTCCAGGGAGCGTCAATAGACTCAGCAGACATTTTTACACACTGCCTCGCGGTTGCCTGTAGGATTGTAAGATTCATCCCATTGTGAGTGATTTAAAATGCGAATACATTGTGTGTCTTAAAATTGGTGGAACAGGATGTAATTGTTGCTGCTTGGTGGATGTCCCGGCACCCTGGTCAGGAGAACCCCCTGGGGCACAGTGCACAGAGCTGCTGTGCAAGGCAAGGGATTGGTCCCTACGTCACAAACCGGCCCAAGAGAGCGACTTAGAACAGTGACCATTTTTTATCTCTTGCTGTTCTGAGGGGCTAAGGGACTCAGCCTGGCGGTGCTGTGACCATGTGGTGTTGGCTGGCCCCGGAAGTTAGGAGAAGGCTTTGCTTTAGTGGCCAGTAGTTCAGTGCTCCTCTGAGGGCCATTTGGCTTCCCTCCTGTTGGTGGTCAGGAAAATCAGACATTCCTTTGCAGAAACTACTGAGAAGAAGCAAAAACTACACGCCTACTGAGGTGTGGGCTTGGAAATGCTAAAATGTCGCTTTTCCACGCCGAGATGTCAGAGTCCCTCCAGATTCCACAAAGCGGGGTGGGAACCCCACTTGCTGGCAGGTGGAGCTGCATGTGCCTGCTAGGGGGGCATAGTGCCATCTCCCCAACAGCCCTGCAGGCTGAAGGCTTCGTGGCTCCGGAGAGCTGCCTGAACCTCAGAGGGTCCCAGATTATACGGGGACACAACCCAGGTTTGCAGAGATATTCATATGAGACCAAGTCTGGAACATTTATGCCGTTTTGACATCAGCCTAAAGCTTGTTCGGTCTGGTTTTCAAGACCCAGCCTCCAGAATGGGCTGGATGTGAGGGTGAAATTCTTTTTGTTCACGGGCCCTGCCCACCTCCCACTTCCCCCAAGTCACTATCTCCCCGTGGCTCCCTGAACTGCTGCCATTCTTCTTGCATCAGGGCCTTTACACATGCAATTTCCTCTTTGTGCCAGGTGTAGCCTCCCTCACCCATCAAGTCTCAGGCCAGCTCCCTCCAGGCTGGGTCAGGCACTCCATCTGGCTTCCCATCACAGTGCTAACAGCCTTATACGGTACCTTCCGGGTGCATGTCTCACTGGGTCTCTCGGGCATCCCCAGAGCCCAGTGTACAGTAAAGCTGAATAAATATTTGTGGAAGAATAAGCAGGTGTGTTGCGGGGATTAAAAAAAGGAAGTATGTGCGAGTGGCAGGACTTCTCTGTGAAAAAAGAATTAAAAAATTAATCTAAGAGGGACTTGGCTGGGTGGCTCAGTTGGTTGGAGCATCTTCCTGTACACCAAAAGGTTGCAGGTTCGATTCCTGGTCAGGGCACATATCCAGGTTGATCCCCAGTAGGGGTGTGTACAGAAGGTGGCTGATCGATGTTTCTCTCTCACATTGATGGTTCTTTCTCTCTCTCTAAAATCAATGGACATATCCTCAGTCAGCAATTAAAATAATAATAATTTAAGAGGGATGGACCCTTGGGCATGTATCTCAGAGAAATGAAAACTTCAGTTCATGCAAAAACCTGTACATGTGTGTCCATAGCAGCTATATTTGCAAAAGCCCCAAAGTGGAACCAACCAGAAGTCCTCCAACAGGTTATGGGGTGAGGGACTGTGGGCCAGCCACACCACAGGCTATGACTCAGGAGAAAGAGTTATGCACACACTACAGATACCAGTACATCTTGGATGGATCTGTGGGAATGACGCTGAGTGGGAAGGGCTATCCCCAGAGGTTCATGATGTGTGATTCGAGCTATTAACATCCTGGAGGTGGTGAAGTTATAGGAATGAAGAACGGATTCGGGGTGGCCCAGGCGAAGGGTGATGGTGAGGAGAGAAAGGAGGGTGGGTGACCTGAAGGACCTTTTTGATTGATTGGTCTGTCCCTGGACTGTGGTGGTGAATTCACAAACTTACTCAGGTGATAAAATGGTGCTGCATACACACACACACACACACGCACACACACAAGTACAAGTGAAATGGGGAAATCAAGGAGGGTGGCTGGGTTGCATCAATGTCGATATCCTGATTGCAATATTGTACTTGAGTTTTGTAAGATGTTACTCATATGGGAAGCTTGGTGAGGGTATGAGGGAGCTCTCTGCATTCTACAATCATCTTGAAACAAAAAGTTTTTTAAAAATATGAAATTAAAGGGAAGGAACATTCAGGAAAGGGAATCATTTTAAAACTGCAGACACATGGTGTGCTCTTTGTTTATTTTCACGTCCATCCAGCTGGACACTGTTTCAGAGACCCTTCTGTGTGCCAGGCTCTGTGGTAGGGGCTGGGGTCACACAGAAGCAATGAGCAGCCCCTGCCTCCACCAGTGTGGAGTCCCCGTCTAGTGGGTGACGGGGCCAGTAAGTGACAAACTACCTAGGGAGATGCAGTGGAAAGGGTTATGAAGGGGAAATGTGTGCATTGTGAATAACTGGAAGCCTGACTTTGGTGGGGGGGGGGGGGAAGTCCAGGAAGGCTTCCTGGAAGAGGTGTGTCCAGGAAATGTGAACTGAACACAGAGATGGGGGAAGAACATACCAGATGGAGGGCACAAGACAGTGCAAAGGCTCTGGGGCAGGATATATTTGATAGATTTGAGAAATCCCTAGAGGCAGGTGGGCTGGAGGAGAATGAGGAGGGAAGCCCCCCACCCTGCCTCCTTACCTTATAGCAGAGAGAAATATAGTCCCCAAAACTATTGTGTGAGGAATGGATTAATACTGACCCATTCTACAGAGGGGGAAACTAAGACAGGGAGGCCCATGCACCTTCCTGGAGTGGGGCAGGTGTGCATTCTGATCTGTTTGGGAATTTCTGGGTGTGGAGGGGGCTTCCCTGTACTTCGGACACTGAGCTGGGGCCTGGCCCTTTATGTGTGGCTTCCCTCCCCAGCTCAGCTGAGTCTCTAAACAACCCTTCCCCAGGCTCCTAACTTTGGGGCGGGGGGCAACAGCTGGGGCTGGATGTTTAACAGCTTAAAAGTGGAGGCCTCTCTGCTACCTGCTGCCACTAAACCCCAGGTAACCCTGGGGCTTGAGGCTGGGACCCCAAAAGGGGCAGACAGGACTGGGGACCTGGGGTAATGGGGGCAGCTCACCAGGACCTGCACTTGGAACTCTCCCGGACAATGGGCCTGCAATCTGGGGGACAATTGGGGGGAATGACCTCAAGAGGCTGGCAATGCTATGTACTTTAGGGACCTCCACATCAACCTTCGAGACCAGGGACCCCAGTCCCTGAGGAGGAGGCACAGAGGAGATGAGAAGGGGGAAATCTTGCCAACAACAGGGATGAGTCAGGTTGCTTTCCAGGTTGACGGACGCCATGTAAAGCTTCTCAGCAAGGGGGGACATGGTCCAAGGTATGTGGAGATTGCTTTCAATTTATTATTTCATTATTGTGACTAATCTTTTGGGCTACCAGGGCCAGGCACATATGGCAGTACAACTTACCTGGGTATGGGCCCCATGGCCACGATATGGGGATAAGCCTTAGGAGTCTGGGTGGGTAGGGAGAAGTGTTCATTTTATTTTCAGATAAAAAATGAAAAAAAAATCCGTTCAATATTTAGGATATATCTAAAATTATTCTTGTTTATATGAAATTTAACTTCACTGCCAGTATTATATTTTATCTAGCAACTCCACCTTGAAGCATTCAGATGGGCTACAGAGGAGAAAAAAACTTCAGCAGGCCTGCTCCCCCGGCTGATCCAGGAAACTGGTTTTCACGTGAGATGGCGTCGCCTAGCGGCCTCCAGCAGGAGCTGCAGTGCCACGATTCAGGTCCCGCCCTGCAGCTGGAGCTCCGCAGGTTCCCGGCAGATGGCGCGAGCACCCCATGGAAATTCCTAGCTTCGTTGGGTTGATCTCCCCCGCCCTCAGCCCCCGGCCAACGGCACAGAGTCTCCCGTGTCTAGGGACGTATCACTTACGTGTACCCCAACCTGGCCGCCCCCGCCCCTACGCCGAGTTTCCCCGCTGCAAAATGGGTCAAGCAGAGCCACACTATTCCTTTCCCTGGTCTCAGGAACTTTTGTTTCATGGACCCCTTTTATGAAAACATATTTTTAAAGTTACATTTTACAGCTGTGTTGGTATAAAGATGAATATAACCCTGATTGGTGCGGCGCAGTGGATTGAGTGTCCTTCAGGTGAAGGGCTCGGGTTCCATTCCCGATTGGGGCACATCCTGGGCTGCTGGCAGCCCTGGCAGTGGGTGCGAAAGGCAACTGATGTTCCTGTTGCACAGTAATGTCTCTCTCCCTCCTTTTCCCTCTCTTCCCCTCTCCCTAAAAATAAATAGAATTAAAAAAAATAAAGATAAATGTAATCTAGGAAGAATTCATTACTATGTACTTCTAATTATTATATTCATTTTTCCTTCTTATTTTAAAAGAAGTTAAAATTACTTGTGGGTCCTGCCTCATAAAACAAGGCAACCTGAAGCCAGGTGTGAATGACTGCAGGTCAGGTGGGGGTATGGAGTTGGGTCCCACAGCCCTACTCTAGGCTTAAAAAAAAAAAACATGGATATGGTTAATACTTCAATTTGCCCTCCACCTCTGTGTAGACAGACTCCAAAAAAAAACGGTGTAGGATGTGGCAGGAAGAGAGGGCACATGAATTCACTCAATCAGCCAACATTTATTGAGCACCTATTACATGGCAGGCTCAGCCTCAGGGCTGGAGACTCAGCAGTGGACAAGGCTGAGTAGGTTCAATAAATACAGCTGTTTTGAAATAGAAGTGCCTGGATGAAAATTAAAAGTGATGCGACGTGATGGGGCACACCTAACAATCCTAACAAGAGATGGGGGTCAGATAAAGACCCTCCGAGGAGCTGAAGTTCCCGCTGAATTGGGAGAAGGCAAGGCACAGGTCATGGGGTGATGAGGGAATGGCCAGTGCAAAGGCCGGGGAAGTGGGAATACGTAGGTATGTTTGAGTAGGAATAATGTGGAAAGGGAGGCAGTTTGAGATTTGGGTGTTTTTAGAGGATGCCTACCCCTCCTTCACTGGAGAGCAGGTTGAATGATGGGCTAAGGACCTGCGTGATGACCAGGCTGTTCTTTTGTGGGGTGGGGCTCTCCAAAGCACTAGGGGACCCACAAGATGGTCTGGCTAAGAAACCTATGAGACTGGGGTTGCTGTACCTAATTTCCATCTTGAGAAACAGAGACCAGAGGGATGTCTGGACTAACCTAAAATCACACGGCCAGGACCCAGAGGGAACCTGGGGCTGCTGGCCACCCGCAGCAGAGCCAGCAAGTCTGTATCACTTCCCAGTTCCCTCCCAGGGCTAAAAATAGGACTCCCTCCTGGGATGCAGCTGGGAATCTTGCAGTCACTGACCCTCCTGAGCAGGGCACCTCTGGGGAAACTGTGTCTAGCTAGGTATGGACTACAGCAAGGTGCCAGGGAGAGGGCAGCACCCTTCCTGCCCTCAGGGGACCCCCTACCCTGCCCTCTTCCCATGTAACAGAGGAAATGTAGTTCTCAAAACTACTGTGTGAGGAATAAATTAATATCGATCCATTCTACAGAGGGGGAAACCGAGGCAAAGGGAGTCCCATTCACCTACCTGGCATGAGGCAGGGGTACATTTGATCTGCTTGGCTCTTTCTGGGTGTGGAGGGAGGGGGCTTCCTTGCACTTTGGAGACTGGTCTGGGTCTAGCCCTTTCTGGGGCCCTCTCCCTGCACGGGCACCACATGTTAGCTATGGCTGTGGACTGAGTGGCCTGTAGCTCTGGACTGGTGGAGTTGTTTTCGGGGTAGATGGAAAGTCGATCTCCGATCACATAAATGTGAAATCCATTTTTCAGAAATGTTGCCATTTTAATGTGATGATTTTCTTCATCTCATAACTAAAATACCTAACTTTAGATGGAATAAAATGTGTGAGAAGAGGGAGAGAGAAAGAGGAAGAAAGAGGAAGAGAGGGAGAGAAGGAGAGAGGCTTAGCTGGGTCTCTAAATTACCCCTCCCCAGGCACCTGGGGGTGGGGGTGGGGCAACAGCTGGGGCTGGGTGTTTAAAAGCCTAAAAGGTGGAGGCTTCACTGCCACCTGCTGCAATTAGACTACAGGCAACGCTACAATTTGGGTGGGGGGAGGGGCGACGTGGAGGGATGACCCCGAGAAGATGGCAATGCTGTGTACTTTAGGGGAAGCGAGGCACTGCACAAGATCCAACCCCAAAACTCAAGATGAGGGAGTCGAATCCCACCCGGTGGGTACCCTTGAGAAGTGGGGCCCTCTGGATAGCCCGTGTTCACCCCTAATCCCCCACTTACCTGGGCTGAAATCTGCAACTCCCTCAGGCTGAGCCCACATCCCCATCCCCTTTCCCACCTACTCTGTTCCTCAGTTTCGGCTCTTCCAAATGGGGATATTTAGTCTCCACTACCTAAAGATGTTAGGGTTGAATATTGCCTTGGGTACGTGGCCAGGAACCTAAGCATTCAGAATATGAAAATTATTAAATTATTATTAAGACGAGGATCTTCTCCTAGGTGGGTTGTCAGGTCCTTAAGGGGCGGTGACAGTCGGGGCTAGAGCTCGCCTCGATTTCGCAACCAGCCCCTTCACCCCCCACCCCAGATCCAGCACAGAAGGTGGCAACCGACTCATTAGGGGCTTTGCTCCGCGCTGGGCAGCCGTTCCCCCCCCCCAGGGCTCCTCCCTAACGTGCGACAGCCCCCAGCTATACTCTGGCTTCTCTCTCCGGCCCCGCCCCGCTCTCATTTCTCGTCACTATAGCTCAGTTCTTCCCCGGGTTTCGAATCCCCATTTTACAGCCGTGAAAACCGAGGCTCAGCTGGGGTTGGGGGGCCCAGGTCACTCGCACCCGGACGCTCAGGGGACAGGAGTGCACTTGCGAGCCTGGTAGGTCCATCCCGGGTGCTCTGTAAGATGCGGGGGAACTCTCCTACGCCGCTCTGGTCGTCCCAACTTACTCCTCCTCCCCCACACTTCGGACGCTCCCAGCTCCACCCGCGTCTTCAGCGCTCAGTGCCCTGTGCGCTCCCGGAGGCGGTGCGCACTTTGCCCACCGTCCCTAGGCAGGGGGCGGGGCCTCCCGCGGCGGTGTTCCCCTTACTTTTATTATGTATTATTTTTTAAAGGGGCCGCGACCCGAGAATTTCCGTCCACTCTCCTTTCCCTCCCCAACACCCCAGGGCTGGTCGTGCGTGGTCCGACCAAGCGCGGGGAGGACCGGGGCCGTCCGGGAAGGGGGAGGGGGCCTCGCGAGACCCCTCCCCGCGTCTCAGTCCGCGGCGCTGAATCACCCGCGAGGTATTTGCATCTGAGAGCGATTTGTCACCCGGTGATTTGTCTTCCCGGCGGTGAGCGCGCCGGTGGGGGGGAGGGGAGGGGCGGGGGAGGCCGCGCACAGGGAGACTTTTACCAATCGGGTCGGATGGGGGTGTAGACGCGGACTGGGCCGGCTGCTAGGTGAGTCGGCGCGCGGCGCAAACCCGGCGGTGGCCAGGAGCTTGCAGCTCGCAGCTTGCGGCCCGGGCCGGAGGCCAAGCGCGGCCGGGGCAGGGCCGGACGCCAGGCGTGGGGCATGCGCCGGGGGAGCGGGCCCCGCGCGGTGAGGCTGGGGTGCGGACGCTGGCCTTTTAAATCGCGGGTTTCGGTCCGCGGTGATGGGGTCCCCAAAGTTGGGCAGGGACCTGGGTGGTAGTCCCGTTCCATGAAAACGATCCTGGTGGGTCAGAGTTGGGTCGTTTTCTCTCTGCACCCCTTGTTGACCTCACCCCCTACCGCGTTGCATAGGGGCGCGCCCGCGTGTGTGCGCGCGCGCGGGGTGGATCGGGGGTCGCAACTGCGCTCCCCCTCTAGCGGAAGGAAATGGTCTCTAGGCGCGCGCTGGGGGCTGCGCTCTGGGTGCTTAGTTCATTTTTTTTCTCCCCGGAATCTGGTGTTTTATTCTGGAGTTGTGAGGGGAGTGGGAGCCCCAGTGGGGAGGGCAATTCCCTAGTGACCCTACCCTGCCTGGACAGTTTATTTATAAAGTGTCGGCCCCGGGCAGAAAGGGCCCCCTGGAGGGGACAACGCGGTGCCCGCACTCGGGGGTGGGTTCGGCCAGGGACCTGGCTCTCTGGTGGAGATCCCCGGGGAAAGCCCCCTCCCCCGTTCAGTGCCCCCCAGACACAAAGCGGGCTCAGGAAGCGCGAGGAGCGCGCGTTTGTCAATTCCAACGTTTGGTGTCTGACCCCGGGCTGCGCGTTTGTCAATAATCTTCCGTTTTTCAGTCTCCCGGACCGAGGGTTTGCCCCCCCCCCCCCATGCAAATCGGCCGCTTTCCAAGAAGCGTTTGAAACCGGGACTGGGGTTTTTGTCGTCTTATTTCTTCTTCAGTGTTTTTCTCACTTCCTCCAGGCCGCCCCCTCCCCACCCTCCTAGCCCCCTGCCCAGCTTGCTGCCCCACCCTCCCCCTCCTCTTCCCTCTGTGGAGTGAGGGCCCCCTTTCGCCACCCGCGGGCCCCAGCCTTGCACAACTCTTTAAATAACTGTGTTTTGCAAGGCCCTGGCCGGGCCTGAGCGGGTGACCTCTCTCTCCCAGAGGCATTAGGGGGAGGGCGTGGCCCGATCCCTCCTCACCACCCCCCAGCCAGGTCTTAACGACCACCCAGCACCCCCCACCCTGCGAGGTTCCTGCCTGGGAATGTCTTTCCCATGGGACTGTCATAAAGTGGGAGTAGGGGCCGAGGACAAAGGGCTCTTGGGGGGAGGGGTGGGGGTGGGTGCTACCAGTTCAGGGTTAATGGCAGCCTTGAGAGGGCCCAGGCCCAACCCAAGGGGGCTCCTGGGTTCCCACCTGCCCCCTCCAGACCCAGCCCGGAGGCCTGCCCTTCTCCCCTCCCCCACCGCCTGACCCGGAAGGGTCATTAAACCCAGCAGGCCAGGCAGGGGCAGCGTTGGGGGGGAGTAGCTTCCTCTGGCCTTTTCCTTATGCCCCCCAAAGTGGTGGAAGGCATTGCCTGGAGTGTTTCCGTGGGAGGGGGCTTGTCTTGAGGTTGTCAAAGGTGAGCGAGGGGCTGTGGCCCCTAGACACTGGGTGAATGGGTGAAAAATGTCTTCTCAGCACTTCTTGGAGCTGGTGGGGGATGACCATCAGTACGGGGAAGAAGGGGATGGGTGTTGCTTTGCTGTGCTGGTCACTCTCCAGCACTGTGGCCTCTAATAGGGCCTTTGTGCCCAGAGACCCCTGCTGGATACTGAGGTCCTTCAAGGGATGTCCCTTCCCACTTTTTACCCATTGCCCTTTTACCCAAGGAGCCCCAGGGGGCCTGGAGGAGGTGGAAGTCCACTGGTTTCATTGTGCCTCTGTAGGGTCCCTCCCAAGACTGAAGTTGGGGAGGACTACACTGCAAGTCTCCTTGGTGGGGTCAGGTTCCTGTTAGCAGGTCACCATAGTGGTGACCTCGGGTCAGCTAGAACCAGGAGCCTTGGCCCCTCAGACCCACTGGCCCCTCCTGTGTGAGACCCTTCTGCCCCAGGAGCAGGTTAAGAGCCTTTGGGGGTTCATTTGCTGTGTTCGGGGCCGCCTCCAGGACCCCCCTGCCCTCCCCACTGTCTCTGTGGTATCTAGGGTGTCACCACCAGGCCTGTTGAGTTCTGCCCATTTGTTTTATTGGTCGCTTGGGTAGGTGTGGGTGTGGCCTGAGCTTGAGTGGAGGCTGGGGTGAGACCTGAATCCTCCTGCCCTGGTGGAGCCTGCCTGTGCCAGGTCCCTCTCCAAGGCCACTGGAGGCCCTGGCAGTTAAGGTCAGTGGTAAACTGGAGGGACCCCAGGCTAGGGACAGAGTGCATTACATTTTTGGACATTGGTTCTACTTGGGGTCCCAAAGAGCAGGGGGAGTCCCCTGCAGAGAGCACACTGGGGCAGTGGGGGAGGTTCTGATGGCACCCAGACCTCACTTAGCTGGACATCTCTGAGCCTTAGTTTCCCTCATCCATAAAATGGGGATGGTCTAGTGCCTACTTTCCTACCACTGACATAACGTGGTGTCTGTTTTGTACCCATCTTCACCATCATAAACTCACTTCATCTCTGCCTGAGCACAGTGAGGTGGGTACAGATAGGGTAGCATTTTGCATATGGGGAAACTGAGTTCCAGAGGAGCTGAAGCTTAGGACTGAAAGCATGAGCAGGGAAGGGTTAGCTTAGGGCCCATACATAGCAAGCACTCAGTCTGGACTAGCCATTTTCTCCGTTAGCCCATGAGAGACTGGGGTACCTGGAGCCCTCTGGGGCTGGGCAGCAGCAGCACCTAGAACCTGGAATCAGAACCCAGAACCCACCTGGACTCTGGTGCCTGGCAGCCAGCTGTAGCCAATCAGAGGCCAGAAATATCCTGTCCGTTCCCCCCCCCCCGCTCTGTTTGTGTAGCAATAACCCACAATGAAGTTGGCGACTGCATATTTCTTTGAGGGGCTGCCTCAAAATCCTTGGGAGCCCAGTGCTAGGTAACCCTGCTTCCCAGCCCACTGGAGGGCAGAGAGAGGGGATAGATGGGGAGAGTGTGCTTTTCCTCCTCCAGTGAAGCCTCCAGGTTTGTATCCTGATGGGAGTGGACAGGGGAGGTTTTCCCAGAAGCCTTTGTGATCCAACCTCAGAGGGGTGCATGGTGCTAAGGAGCCCAGTATGATTTGACAGTCTCTCTTGCTGCCCTCAGGTTTCTGCAAACACACTAATGAGCTGGACACCAGCTACCGCCTCTCCGTGCCCAGAGTGAGAAGGAGGTGCCACCTGTTGGCATGCCCCACCAGCCTTCAGTCTGAGCCAAGCGGCCCCTGCCCCCCGCCACCCTGCACTGTCCCAGCTCCCCCGCGGCCCCCACACTGCAGTGCGGCCGGGCCCCCTCCCCGAAGGGGCCACCCCTGCCACCCACCCCTGGTGCCCGGGGTGGCCCAGCCCGGAGGGCCATGAAGCTACAGGCTGTGATGGAGACACTCCTGCAGCGGCAGCAGCGAGCACGCCAGGAGCTGGAGTCCCGGCAGCCGCTGCTGGCTGAGACCCCTGCTGGCCCCCCAGCCCTCTCCAGGGCTGCCTTGGACGAGGACAGAGACCCCGAGAACACCCGGATGCAGCAGGCACAGATGGCCGCGCTGGCTGCCATGCGGGCTGCTGCTGCAGGCCTTGGACCTGCACCCAGTCCCTGTGGCTCTGAGGACGGGCCCCCTGGCTCGGAGGAGGAAGACACTGCTCAGGAGGGGGAACCAACCTCACCAGGTCGAGGCAGGGAGGCGCCAGGACATGCCGAAGGCGACGGGCACTTTGAGGATGTGGGCTCTGATGATGGCCTGTGAGTGAGCGTCTGCAGTCTTCACACACTGAATGGTGTCTGGGTCTTTGAGCAGAGATATGAGAGCAGGGCAAAACCCCCCAGGGAAGTGCCACCCTTTGGACTTTCTGGATGGCCATGGACATGTCCTCCAAATGTGCTGTCCCTTATGGATGCCACAAGTCATAAGTGGCTGTTGAACATGTGCACTGTGCCCAGTGCCAAGAAGGTGGCCGAGGATCAGCGTTTGTAGTGCTCTTGGCACCTTAATTTTTTTCAAGCTTCTAGTTTTTTAATTTACTTTTTAATTATATTTTTTCCCATTACCACTTAGTCCCCTTATACTCCCCTCCCCACCACAGTCACCGCACTGTGGCACCTTAATTTAAACCATGGCTCAGTGAGGCTACAGCAGATTCAATGTCAGGGACAGATTAGGTTGGTGGGTTGGGTGGGGCCTGCACCAGGTGGGTATTGCTTGGCTCATTGGGGTCTATTTCATTGGAGTCCCAATGAAATAAAGAGTGGGCCCTGAGCTGGGTGCTCCCAAGAACCCAGTGGGGTCTTCCTAGGAAGACTTTTTAACAAGCAAAGAAGCAGGGTGGTAGTAGGCTGTGGTTGGGGCTGGTAAGGAAATGAAGCAGGGGTGCTGGGGAGGGGGGCGGCCAGGATTAACTTTCTAGAATGATGGGCAAAATGTTGTTAGTTCCTAGGAAAAAGCTGGGAACAGCACGCCTAGTGGAGGGAACAGCCCGAGCCAAGGTCCTGAGGCAGGAACCAGCTTGGCCTTTTCAAGGCTTAGCTAGGTAGCCTGTGCAACAAGGGAGAGGAGAGGGAGACCCAGTTAGCACTAGGTGGGGGCTGGGGTTTATGTCAGAGGGGCAGCTATAGCTGGTCTAAGCTAATTGGGACCAAGAGGTGTGTGGCCCACACCACGCTTACCGGTCCTCTCAGCAGCTGGGGCAGGTGAGGCCCGGCCTTTCTGTGTGGAGAGAGGGAAACCAGGCTGGAGTGAGGAGCTGGACTGCCCCCGAGGCAGGGGTGAGCTGGAGCCCTCTCCTCTGACCTCTGCTCTCTGCCCGTCCCAGGAAGCCGAAATGGGAAGAGGAGGAAGAGGAGGAGGAAGAGCTGGAGGAAGACTTGGGGGAGGAGGACGAGGAAGAGGATGAGGAAGACTATGAAGACGAGGAGGGGCTCGGGCCCCCGAGCTCTTCTGGCCTGGGTTCTGCAGCCCTGTTCCCCCGCAAGGCCCCGCTGCCCCAGGCCTTCCGTGGTGGTGACGGTGGGCCCCGGGTGCTGGGCAGCCAGGAGCGCCCAGGGGCCGGCCCAGCCCACCCCGGAGGAGCTGCCCATGTCACACCCCAGCTACAGCCTCCTGACCACGGGGACTGGACATACGAGGAGCAGTTCAAGCAGGTGGGTCATGTGTCGTAATGAGGGCTGTAGAAGAAGGGGCACACCCGGCTGTTACTGGGACCCTTCCAGCTGGCCCGGATGGCCTTTGCCTCCTACCTTACAGGTGCCAAGCTGGGTGGGAGAGATCCCGTGGGTAGGCTAGCTGGCTGTTAAATGCATGAATATGGGAGTCATGAGCCAGGAAGGAGAAGTTTGGGGCTCTTGGTGTCTGTACCAGAAGGACAAACAGAAGAGGAGCAGATGAGGAGAGGATTTCAGAGTGGAGGGAATGGCCCAGGCAAAGGCTGTGCCACTGGACCTGGCTCGGCATGGGTTGTGGGTGTGGCCTGGTGACATGTCGATCTGGTCTCTTGAGTGAAGTCCAGTTTATTGAGGCCCGGGCAGTTGATTGAGGAGGTGGCCACGTTGGACGGCTGTGCACCCTGGGGCTCTGGAGGGGCGGGGAGGAAGCAGGCCATTCTGGTGCCTTCCCGAGAGTGGGGCCAGGGCAGAGGAAGTGGCCGGGCGGGGCATCCTTTGAAGTTTGGCCGAGCTGGGCTGGGCAGATGGAAACCAGATGGTGGCTGGGGGCAGCCAGGGCGGCCGGTGGGACTTGCATTCCATCCTTAGCCAGCTGGGCCCTGCCCCGACCTCTAGGAGTGGCTGGAAGGAACCTTGCTGAGGCTCCACCAGGCTGTGGACACGCCAGCACACAGGAGTGGCCTCAAGGTGGCTGTCCTCTGGGTGCTGGCTCCTGGATAGGTCGTGGAACCCTCCCAGGGGGAGGCGAGGCCCAGCCACCCTGTGCTGGTCTCTGGGGACCCAAAGCCAGCGGCTTCCCTCTCAGCCTCACTTGGAGAAAAGGATGCTGGGACCCAGCAGCCCTCAGAGACCAGTTCAAGCCATCAGAAAACTCACAGATGAAGTAAAGAACAGGAAATTGGACCCATGGGGACAAGCCAGGAGCTGTAGTAAGAGTGATAGGGACAGAGTAGGTGGGAGGGATGGCACCCTCCGGGTAGGCACACCAGCTTCTAGGAAGGGAGGGAGAGTTAACCACCTCCCTTCCCTGGCCCTCTTGCCTTCCGGGGAGCTGCCCAGGTGGCTGAGTGGGGCAGCCTTGCCTCCTGCCTCGTTTTGGCCCTGTGGATGGTGGTGCCTTTTGGTGGAATGAAATCCAGCAGATGTCACCTCTTCAGGATGAGGCCAGCCATGTCCCCTGAGTGGTCCTGACTGCCCCCTGCATGTGGACACCAGCCTGAATCTGCATGTAGGACTGATGGCCCCACCCTGCTCCTTGCCTCAGTTTCTCTCCCTTTTGGAAGGAAACTCTTACCGAGCACCCACTCACCCCAGTTTGCAAATGAGAAAATTAAGGCATGGTGTTGGGGGACGTTTTGCAGACCCTGGGCCCCTGACATCCTCTGGGTTCAGTATAACACAGACGGGCATGTTGTAGATGAGTCATATTTATTTACTTGCCTAGCATTTGCTGTTTGTCCTGAACATAGTACTTGGGGAACCCCGGGCTGGGGGTGGCAAAGCTGAACAGACACCCCTGCCTTATAGGGTCACAGCCAGGGAGGACGGATAAGGCTGCGCAGCCCTTGGGGGGGTCAGAGGTCGACAGAACCCCTGCTCCTCTGGCCCCAACACTGACAGGAGAGGGGGGCAGGGTGCTGGCAATCAGGCCAGGTGGAGATGAGGGGTCAGAAGCCCTGACACCAAAGACCTTTTTGCGTATCAGGAACAAAGGGCCTTGGGAGCCATTGTCCCATTTGTCCAGGAAATGATGACGATCACACCCACGGTCACACAGTCATTTTTGAGGGGGGAAAACTGACGCCAGAGGGTCAGGGAGCCCTGGTGTCATACAGTCACTTTCAAGGTTTGTCCTTGTCGTGGGTGGAGGTCAGTGAGCAAGTACGTGGCCAGCACGTGGGATGTGGTCGGTGTCTTTACAGGGGAAGTGGGGCTGCCGGGCCTGCCCTGTGGTGCTGGGAGCTTGTTCTCTTTTTTATTAAAGGACAGCCCTGAGTTTCTCCTTTTCATTTATTTATTTGTTTATCTTTGGGGGGCGGTGAGGGAGAGAGAAAGTGACAGAGAAATAGTGATGTGCGAGAGACACATTGATCGGTTGCCTCTTACACATCCCCAACCCCAGGTGTCTGCCCTGACCTGGATTTGAACTGGCGACCTTTTGGTTCACAGGAGGGCGCTTAGTCCACTGAACCATGCCAGCCAGGGCTGGGAGCTTATTCTTGCCAGTTTGTGGCAGGTCCAGCTGCTGGTGCTGCCTGTCCACTCAGCTGGCCAGGTACATGTGCAGCCAGTGTCAACAGTGACTTGGCCTTAGCCAGCTTTGCAGCTGTCTGGGGCTGTGTTGACTCCGGCGCTGCCCCACCCCCTTCCTGGCATGTTGCAGCCAGCTGCTAGCCATCCACTTGGCATCGTCTTTGCCTCTTCCTCCCAGGTCGTAGCTGGGCCTGGAGCTGACTTCTGCCCCCAAACCCTCAACGGCCTTGAAATTCCACTGTCAGCTATAAGTCTGAGCGCAGGCAGGCTGGGGAGGGGCCCGGAGCAGTGGGCTTGTGACCACGGAATCTTTCTTGGAAAACCTGAAACCTCCCACTGCGGGCCCTCCTCCCCATACAGTATGCACTGATGGAGGCCAGCTCACCTGGAGCTGCGGGCTGGGGAACAGGTTGTGTAATGGGTAGCACTTAGGATCACAGCCTGCTGGCATCAGATGTGGCTTCTGGTGGTTTCCTGTCACTAACATGGCCATGCCTGGATGGCCTGGGCTCTAGGAAGTGCCATTGTGAGTTTCCAAATATTTTATCCATTTATTTTCAGAGAGGGGAAGGGAGAGGAGAAACATCAATGTGTGGTTGCCTCTTGCACGCCTCCCACTGGGGACCTGGCCCACAACCCAGGCATGTGCCCTGACTGGGAATTGAACCAGTGACCTTTTGGTTCACAGGCCGGCACTCAGTCCACTGAGCTATACCAGCCAGGGCCTGTTTTGAGTTTTTAAATCAGCAGACTTTTTTTTCTTTTAAAAAATGTATTGATTGATTTTAGAGGGAGAGAGGAAAGGATAGAAAGGGGGAGAAAGAGAGAAACATCAGCTTGTTGGTCCACTTATTGACACGTTCATTGGTTGCTTTCCGTATGTGCCCTCACCAGGGATGGTGCTCCCAACCGTGGCGTCCGGGGACAACACTTGAACCAGCAGAGTCACCTGGCCAGGGCTTTTGGCAAACTCTCCATCACAGGTCTTCAACCACTTAAGGATGTGAATCCTTAGTCTCAAGAAGTCATATATAAATGTGGGAACTTTTAAATAGCTTTATTGATAGAAAATTTGCATAGCGTGGGATTCACCCATTTGAAGTGTGCAGTCCACTGGTTTTTTGGTGTATTCACAAGGCTGTGCACTCATCACCACCGTCAATTTTGGAACATTCCCATCACCCCAAAATGAGCCCCACCCCTCTTAGCAGCTTCCTCCAGCCCTCCCCCCTTGCCCTCGGCCCATTTGCTGTGGGTCGGCCTGTCCTGAACACTTCACACAAACGGAATCACGCACTCCGTGGCCTTTTGTGTCTGGCTTCTCTCCCGGAGCGTCATGTTCCAGGTCCCTCCACGCTATAGTGTCAGTGTGTCGCTCCTCTTCACAGCCGAGTGACACCCCGGCGTGTGTGACGGCCTGGTGTGTTTATCCTCCGTGTTCAGACACGGGGGTCGTCTCCACCCTCTGGCTCCTGGAAGGCGGCCGCCGTGCATGTGGATGCGCAGCTTTTTGTGTGAACGCGCGTTTTCCGTTTTGCTGCTGTGCACGTCGGGTGGGGTTTCTGGTCCAGGTGGTAACTCTGTACAGTGTTTGGGGGGCTGGCGCTGCCCCGTTTTGCACCCCACCTGCCACGCCTGAGGCTCCAGTTTTTCCGCGTCTTCACCAGCACCTGTGACGGCTGGGTCTAGCTGTGCAGGTGGGGATTGTGTGGGATCTCACTTTTTAAAAAAATTCTCACTTGAGGATAGTTTATTGATTTTTAGAGAAAGGAAGGAGGAGAGAGAAACATTGGTTGGTTGTCTCCCATACACGCCCTGATAAGGATGGAACCCGCAACCCAGCATGTGTCCTGACCAGGGATCGAACCCACCACCTTCTGGTGTATAGGACAATGCTCCAACCAACCAAGCTACCCCGGCAGGGCTCACTGTGGTTGTGATTTGCATTAAATGTTGAGCTATTTCCCCCTGCTTTCCAAGGTAACATCTGCTCACCACGTAACTTCTAAAGGAGATCAGAGACATAGAGATGCCAGTTTTACCTAATATTTGTCACTGAATTGTGTGCAGGTGGCAGACCAAATGTCTTACATGTGTCTTATGTGCACCCTTTGGAGCCTGTGGGTGGGGGGCAACAGCCGTTGCCCCTGTTGGGCAGATGAGGAAACCAAGGCACAGAGTGGCCAAGGCACTTGCCATGGGGGCGGTGTCAGAGCTGGGATTGCATTCCAGGGCACACTGGCCTCAGCACTTGCCAGAGTATTCCTGGGGAGTGGATGGACCAGCGAGGGGCAGGAGGCCACTGGCTGTGGGGGTTAGGGTAGGCCTAGTGGTCCCAGGGGCCTGTGGACCCAGGGGGCACTTGGACAGAAATAGCTACCATCAATCCCCAACAGGCCGAGCATTCTTGCCTTGGGCCCTGTCTGGCCCCCTCCGGTCCCTGGGCTTCCCGGGCCCATCTTACCCCAGGGTCCTCATGCCCCTCTCCGACGCGGTGGCCCCGGGTACAGGTTCAGGGTCGGGGAGGTGAAGCTGTGGGTTTCAGGCGTCCTGAGCAAGAGGCCAGGGTGCTTTTTCTGGTCCTTTCAGCTCATTTAGAGGTTTTGAATTATGGAAAATACACTCATATATGTTTTTAAGTCCATTTTTTTATTCCAGAATTAACACTAGACACCATTCCCATTGGGAGAGAACACGGAAGGGTTCCAGTGAGGCTCCAGGTCGGC